CAAGGTACATAAAAGCATATGAAAGTGTTTGCATATATAAAATATCTCTGAAAAAACTATAAAAAGCTAACATTGGGGATCACAGAAGAATTTGGGGTGAACATAGAGTCAGGGAAACTCACACACTATACTATCCCAATGTTGAAATTTAAATACTTTTTAAAACAAAGAGTTGATACAGAAAAAAGACTTGAGTTTCTGCTAATGGCATACACCACTGTGTTCTGACATAAGAAAAGTCATGTTACATCCTTTGGGAAATGATTTACAGTTTGGGGAAAATACTTCTGATTTTAGGTATTTAATGCCCTGTTGCAAAATGTGCCATGTGAAGAAGGGCAGAGAGAGGATGTTTTTCCCAAAGGTCCTTTGCTCCCCTCCCAGGCTGGCTTGAGTCAGCACTGTGGTTGCACTGTGAAGATCTCAGTGTGTATACTAGTACCGTTCTGGTGCTGTGATAAGACATTCTGCTGAAAAGCAACCCAGGGGAGAAAAGGGTTTTTTTGGCTTACCTTTCCAGGTCACAATGTATCACTGAAGGCATCAGGACAGCAACTCAAGCTTGCTGTTTCCCCCTCTGGTTTGCTGACAGGCTCATGCTCAGCTAGCTTTCTTATACAGCCAGGACAATCTGCCTAGGGATGGTGCCACCCAGAAAGGGTTGGGCCCTTTTGCATCAATTGACAAATGAGACAGTCCTCCACAGAAATGCCCACAGGTCACTCTGATCTAGATGAGTCATCATTAGAGGCATTCCAATCAGATGACATGAGGCTGTGGAAAGTTAGGACTAACTGGGACTGGTGAGTAACAGGAAAGGGAGTTGGTAAGAGCGTACTGACCTCTCATGAACTAAAGCTCAAATAGGATCAGCAACTACATTACCCGGCCACTGAGGATCCAGAAAAGGACTCCCTAGACCTATACATTAGTCTCTGCAAATTACTGTTTTCTTTCCCTTTTCTTCTGAAAATGAATTTCTCCTTATTATTCTCTTTGCCATTTGTGGCTGTAGTCTTCCAAGGTCTTTGATCTGTGGCAGATTCCAAATGACAATGAGTTAAGCTTGGAATGTATGCTTTGCTTTACCAGTGAAATTGTTGGTATCTTTTTCTTGGCTATTTAACACTCCTCTCTGGGACTGGAGAGATGGTTCATCAGTTAAAAGCACTGACTGTTCTTGCAGAAGACCCAGTTTCAATTCTCAGCATTCACATGGCAGCTAATAACTGTCCATAACTCCAGGTCAGAGGATCCAATGCCCTGCTCTGGGCTCTGCGGGTGTTGCATGTACCACTCATGTAGTACACTTACATGCAGGTAAAACACTTATATACATAAAATATAAATAATAAACAAATAAATAAAAATTAACATCCCCCTCTCCTGGCTCTTCAATCATTAGCACATTCATCAGCTACTGATCTGAAAATCCCTCTGAATGTTTTCAGGTGAGAAAGCATAACTCAATAGTGATTTCCATTTGTATAAATTTTCCAACTTTAGAAGCTCCACATTTGGCTTTCCTTCAGCTAGAAAGTTGTATGAATAGAATCACACACAGGAACTTTATGCAATTTTCACTGTTTGTGCTTAGGGAGTAGATGGAAGTGAAGAAAAAGAGCCCCACTGCTCCTAAAAAGGAACTGAGCCAAGACGAGAACCAAAGGCCAGCTACAGTTCAGTCGAGTTTAGACACACGTCAGTTCCCCAACCTTGGTATGTGCCTACGAATCACCTTACTATGTGATTTCAATCCTCTTTGACTGTGGGTTAATCTACCTGCTGATGCATTGGGAGAGCTGTAATCAAAAGCAATGCTATTATTTCATGATCAGTTAAAAGGAAGTTGGCTTCACAAATGTTTCATTACATTATTTGAAATCAGCATGGCATCTAACATACAGTAAGACTTCACACACCTGTGAATTGTTTTCATTCCAATAGCAGTTGAATTTTGTTTTAGGTTACCTTCCCCTGTAGACAAAAGACAAGGTACAGAAGGGCTCTGGAGAGAAACTTTCAAATGGAGGAAGGAAGCAGATAAAGAAAGGAAAAGCTGGCAGGGGTTCAATTCTTCCTCCTCTGGCTATTTTGAAGGGCAGATTGGGCATGCAAGTGTATCTCAGGGTTTGTCTCATCTTGAGCAGGCTTGCTAAGGTTTTCTCTGCCTCTCTGCCCTGGCTAAGGGAGATCCTTGAGGCCATGGAGCCTCTCAGGAGTGGGGCTGCCTACACACTCAGGCTTCTTGGCAGAAGGAACCCAAGGGCAGTCAGAGAGCAGCTGTGGGTATTGGGCTCTGGGGAAAAGTGCTAAAGCCAGAGAAAGAGCACACAGAAACAGGGGATTATGAAGGACTGACAGTGCCTGCTTCAGATACTAGTGTGTTCTCTGTTCTAAATAGAATAGACAAAAATATGATCAACCATAGAAACTTATCATCAAAAGCCAGGTCTTCATATTCTTTAAAGTACAAAGACATAACCCAATTTTAAATTGTATATTATATTTTATTTTTTCAGAATGCACCCATATAATCCTAGAGCATATACATATCCTAGAATTATTACATATATTTGTTTGAAAATGTTTTATGTTAATAAGCCATTACTTTCATTTACAGTCACAGTAGTTTAACCTCTAGGAAATTTCTCTAGGAGTTCATTTCTTTAAATCCTGTCAGTTCAGAGTCCTGGGGTTTTACCAGCATGTGGTAGAACTTGAATATATCATCTAAGTTACAAAAAATAAGCAAATAAGGGGACCAGATTTCCTTCCTTGGGCGAGAGCAGATGAGGCTTTCTGCCTCTCAGCAGGCAGTCAAAATGTTCTCTTTTCTCAAAGGAAATATAAATGTGAGTGCAAGTGTATAGCTGAAGGATATATAACAAAATTCACAGTGCCAGGCAAGAGAAACCTCATTACAAGTTGTTGGTCAGGGTAGTACAAGAGACTCCCAAAATAATATAGGCTACTGCCAAACCCCTTGATTACCTCCCTGAACTTGAATGTAAGAATCTACTACTGAAGGTAGGGCATAATTCAGCCAGCCTCCTGTAGATCTGCTCCATGACTGCTAGCTATTTAACTTCTTAATACTCTTGATTTCTGACATACCATTTTCATTTGTATATTGACCAATGTGAGGGTGACTGGGAGCTGACATCCAATCAAGCAAAGACTCAAGCTGCTGCCTAAAGAGCTGTGATTCACCATGGAAGCTAAAGACTGCCTTAGTCATCTGATTGAAGTAAATACATCTGAAGAAAGGCATGGTGGCACATGCCTGTAATCCCAGCACTAGGACACTGAGGCAGGAACTGCAAGTTTGAGACCAGACAGGGTTATACAGTGAGATATGGTCACAAAATAATAATAGAAATAGTAAGAATAAGACAAAGATGAAGAAGACAACGCTGACAAGAAAGGAAGAGGGAGGAGGAGGAGCAGTGGTATGTGCCCGGATCTTCTTCTCTTTGGATCTGCGAGATCAGCTGTCAGCCATTAGAATAGGTTTACAAACTTTTACTATCTTTTCTGACCTCACACAAATAATCACACAATCTCTGAATTTGTCTCTCTTCCCCTATGTCATATCCAAACACAGATAGAGACATGTAGGTCTGTCTGGTCCCCGAACCCCTTCAGAGTCCATTGGGCACCGGCCCCAGTCTTCCAGAATGGGGGAGAGGGACAGACTCGTGGAGGACAGGTTCTCTGGAGGCAGTGAGTACAATGGGAAAGAAGACTGGGGAGACTGTGTCGGAGGACAGCTCATTTATTATGGCAGAAGCAGAGGTTTATACAGGAAAGTTTTGCAGGCAAAGAGGCAGAGTTGGGTTTTGGTGGGCAGAAGTTGGAGGAGGGAGGGGATTTCTAAGGCTACCTGGCGTTTGCTCATGGTACTTTCTGTTTCCATTGTCTGGTTACATGATTTACAAGAAACTTGGTTAAGGGCAGGGAAACAGAAACTTAGCAATCCTGCTTGAGAACTGTTGGGGCACCAGCATACCCGAAATGGAGTGGGCCTGACTCCCCTACCATCCTCGCTAGGAGGGTTCCGGGGTTGTATGGCCATGCTCTACATTCTGAGCATTACTGACTGTATCCCAACACCTCCCCCTTTGTCTTTTATAAGGGATGGGTGTCATCATATTTGGAGATGGTATTAGGGGTAGCTTGGTATTGGACCAGGACTCAATTGGTGGTAAATGCCATGATATCTTGCATATGGTTTTTTAAAAATTGGATTAAACAAGACACCAGGATGAGTAAAGTACATAGGGTTAGTAAGGGACCCAGCAGAGGTAGAAGCCAAGCAAAGAGAGGGTTGGCAAACAATGGGGTATCTCTTTCTAGAGTGGAAAGGTCCCTGAGTTCATTATTTAGTTTTTGGAGAGTTTTGACATTTTGCTCAACAGTTCCAGATTCATTTATGTGAAAGCAACACTCTTCCTTTAGTAACAGGCATGCTCCCCACCCCCCTTCAGCTAGGTCTAGGGCTCTCCGGTTCTGGAGTACCACCCCAGCCAATAATGTGATTTGGCTTTGTAGAGCCTCCAGGCTCCCAATCATGGAGGTTAAGGTTTGCTACAGTCAGCTGCAGAAGTTGGTGGCAGCTGAGTGATAGGAATGTTCTAGAGCTCCTCCCACAAGCCCAGCCAACCTGCTGACAGAGCGGGTCCCAGACTGAGTAGGGGATGAACACCTCTCTTTTGTGTTGGTGGAGAGTTGTCATCATATTAGCTGCCTCTTCTTTTTCTAAAATGTAAGGCTTGGGGGTGACAATAACAGGAGTATAAAAGGCAGAAATAGTCCTGGTTGATGCAGGTTCTTATGGTGCCATTGCACCAAAAGAGGGCAGGGGCAGTGCACACAGAGTCTTGGATATGGAAATATTAGAGGCACAGGTGGAGGAGAGCATTGCAGTTGGGCTGAAAAAGCAAAAAGGCAGGGAAGGAATTTGATCATAAAGGGGGATATTGGGGAGGGGTGTGATGGGTTGTCTCTCAGGTGCTTTCCTCAGGAGATGTTGGCTGGAATGGCTGCTAGCAGGGGCCTGGTGAGGGAGGCACAGAAAAGGCATTGAGAGATGTTAGGATGGGAGGAGAGCCAGACAAGGTTGCTAGTATCTTGGATGTACGGTACCCAAGTTAGGGATGCTTGAATTTGTTTTTTGATATGCCCTTCCTGTGAAAGGATATGCGACTTAACATATTCTGATTGTGGCCAGGTTCTTATGGTGCCATTGCACCAAAGGATGGAAGGGGACAGTGCACACAGGGTCTTGGATATGGAAATATTAGAGGCACAGGTGGTGAAGAGCATCACAGTTGAGCTAAAAAAGCAAAAAGGCAGGGAAGGAATTTGATCATAGAGGGGGATATTGGGGAGGGGTGTGATGGGTTGTCTCTCAGGTGCTTTCCTCAGGAGATGTTGGCTGGAATGGCTGCTAGCAGGGGCCTGGTGAGGGAGGCACAGAAAAGGCATTGAGAGATGTTAGGATGGGAGGAGAGCCAGACAAGGTTGCTAGTATCTTGGATGTACGGTACCCAAGTTAGGGATGCTTGAATTTGTTTTTTGATATGCCCTTCCTGTGAAAGGATATGCGACTTAACATATTCTGATTGTGGCACTGG